GATAGTGACCTTATTGGCCACTTGCCCTCAAATGATCATGAGGACGGTCCACATCCTCATTTGGTGCTTTTGCCTATTGAAAAGAAATTAAGATGTTGCAGCCCTGTACAAGAACATTTTGTATTTCAAAATTCCATTTCTTACTCATTTTCTACTTCTTTACTGTTTGGAATGGGGGTAAGATTTCATGTTTTGTTACCCTATCAAACTATACCATTTACAGTGTTAAATTCATTCATTCAAAATGACCGATAACATTTCTCTTCAACTATTTAACAATTTACGAGGCTGTGCCACACCTTGGTGATGCAACTATTTACCCTCTATCCTGTTTTGCATCCCTCGGCTCATTGGCAGCTTGCTATTCATCTACTTGAACTACTTCGGCTGCAGAATGACCGATAGCATTTCTCTTCAACTCAGCTTCTTGGTTAGATGAAGAGGGGATATCCCCAGAAAAGGAGGAAAGCAAACGTTTACTCTCACAGTAGTTGTGCCTGTCACTAGCATCATCTTCAGAATCTTCAACAACACAGTCAGCAAGATACTCACTCGAGGTTGAAGAAGAGTCAGGTTTATCAGTTCTCCCCAAATGGCTAGATCCCTCAAATTCTGGCCCCATCTCTGATATCACCTGAAAATCACTACTGGAGGTTCCGGAACAAGAGGTTCCGGAACAAGAGTCCTCCACATGCAACAAGTCTTGCTGATTCCATGATGGTTCCAATGCTTGGAAGTGTCTCCTAGTATATCTTGCTCGTGGAAGAGATGTTTGCAATCCATAAACTTGCTGACCATCTACATCTGATGATGCATCAACAGCAATTTTTTCACCAGTTCCTTCAATCTCCTGTTCTCAGTCAGAATAGAATGGAATTTTTTTCAGTTGACAGAGTTCCAAGAAATAAGATAATATTTTTGTTTCTATGGATTTCGTGTATATACCAGCTAAAAGTATGCCATCACCAACTTGGCAGTATAAGAGGAGAAAAAAAAGGATGTTCTTTTTTATTTTGTTTTTGTTTCAGCCTTAGCTTAAAGGACGTTCAAATGTTGTCCTTTGCATGCTTCAGGGAATTAAAAGATAATGGCCAAAAAAAGGGAACTAAAAGATGCTAAAAACTTTGATATGAAAAGAAGGAAAAATCTGAGACAAAGAAAATAAAAATGAATACCTCTATTGGAGACATGGCGTTCCTACTAGGAAGAGTTCCAACCTGCTGATTATTTCTATCCGAGAATGATTGCCCATCATTTCCCACCTTAAGAAACTCCTCAAATGCTACTGAGTTTTCAATGTGTTGGTTGGAAGTTTGAAGGGATACTCCTGACCGTGAAATTTTAATTCCCTCCTGAGAATTACAACTTGAGGAATGATCCTGAGATGTTTGTTCTGAACTGTGCATCTCGCCAAGAACTTTGTGTCCAGTTTCTTTCTCACTTCTATGAGGTGAATGGAAAAGAGGATATTCATTAATGCTACCAGCAGAAGATGTTTTATAAGATTGATCTTTCAGGACTTCATAGATTAGCCTCTGGATATGAGAACGTTTTAAAGAAGCTTCCACAGGTGGAAACCAATTCCTTGTAAGCTGGAAAGATAAAGATAATTTGAACTTATGAAGTGCAATCTTATATAGGAAGGCAACTGACCAGAACCAGATAAAGAAAAGAAAGCAACAAATAATACAACTAATTGCTCATTCATTTCCATATCTATGCAGAAGTTTCTTGAATTGAAAGTCAACAAGAGTGCAACATAAAAAATTAGAAATTAGAAATAAAAGAAGTGGGGTGGAGGAGAGGGGCACAATACAAGAAGTGTTTTGTTGGTTGCAATTGATAAAAGGTTAACCATCCAAAAACCATATTGTGCTTCTTGGTCGGACAGGGTGAAAACAACGAGGAGATTATTAAGGGGGGTCACAGCGATTAGGGAATGGGGAAGGGAAGAGAGGGAGGTGGGACTATGGGAGTCCTTGCCAGGCCAGGTGGAAAGCACCTTTCTCCATCTTTGCCCCCACATACAAGACAACAACATGTGACTACAATGCAAAATAAGAGTTTTAGCATTTGATACCCTTTTTTCCCCTAACATTGTTACTATGCTAAGTCAAAGAAACCATTATTCTGCTAAAGCATACCCAGGGATAGTGCATAATAATGACTTTGCCAGAATTAACAGAAATACAGTTTTTAGTTCCAAACCCAAAGTTCATAACAGAAATAACCAATATCAAAATATCAAATGCCATTTTCCAAGTTAAAAAGAAAGCCTGGATGCCAAAATGACCAACCATGAAGTACTAACAATGATGAAGGAAAATAAAAGACTTGTTTAATGGAATAAGGACACTTACAAACTTGCTGAACTTTGTTATCTTAAAAGGACTGAAGTTAGCTGGCACATCCTGAATGAAGTGTTCCACATAATGGAGCAAGAAGAGGCCACAGTCAAAAGAATTTTCCTGCTGTGGTAGCTGACCAATGCAGAAAATAAGATCAGAAAACCAAACAATTTTGCTATACTCCCCACGGCACCCCCCTTCCTCCAAAAAAAAAGGTAATAACTAAATACAGTTCCTTCAACTCAACAGTCATTATTTTAAAAAAGAGGAATACCTCAAGAGGAACAAACTGTAATTGAAAAAACTTTGAAGAAATATCATCTGCAACCCCACTATGCCTCTCTTTCCACTCTTCACATAAATAACTGGCATCTCATGAAAAACATATGCAGTAAACAGAATAAAGTTAATATCCAGAAACCTGAGAAAAAAATCATTTTAAACAAAGTAGAGAAAGACAGCTACTTTACATTAACAGTAGTAATCTATGCCAAATAATATTACCAATCAGTGGCAGCATCTTCAGGCATAATTATTGTCCTAGGCTAATAATGCCAAAGAAAAACATGACAAGGAAAGCTCCCAAGTTTTTCCAATCTTCAACCACCCATAAGGTTATAGCACAACAACTATCCATGAAATTAAAAATCAAAACGTAAATTACCTTTGAAAAAGATTATTAAGGCCTTTATGACTTCCTTTAATTGAATCCAAGTGCAAAATGCAAGGAACCTTAGGTAAATCATTAAGATCATCATCTGCAAAAGCATTAAACATATAAGAAGTGGAGATGATCCAAACTAATACAAAAGCTGAAACCCATCCAATCACCAGGAAACATGCCATTGAGATTAGCCACTTCACCAGGATGACAAATGACAATCAAACTCCAATGCAGACTGTAATGAGATGAATTTATAATTAATATTAAAGTGCAATATGAGATGGCACTGTCTATTGTTTAGTGAACCAGAAGGATTAAAAATGGTGTTTCCTAACCTGTAGTTTACAGGAATGAAAATGTAATCCTTTTTAAACATATCAACTTTCCTTGTCCATTTACGAACACGTTGAAATGCTGCACTTGTTTCACAAGCACTTGGTCGATATTTGTCCAGATCAGCTAGCTTACGAAAGAAGAAACTATTAAAAAAGTGGAACCTATGCTGCTCCTCAGTTTGAATTTTATTCTTCAGATACCTGCCAACAGATCCATATCTAATATCACTACTTTAAAAGCAGGAATTAAAATCCTCAATAGAAAGAAGAGAAAATAGTGGTAGCAATGCATATGAAAGAAAAAAGACTAAGAACCTACCCTAGGAAACTTTTCTAGGTAATTTTTTTTATAAAAGACTAAGAATCTTGTAATTAATGAGTATAGTATTAACTACTTGATATTCTGCTTTTAGATTGATAATTTCTGAATCATAATAGATTGGTTAAAACCAGAAAGCCATTTCAAAATAGAGGGTACTAAAAACACTTCAAATGAAAAATATCATTTTCCTGGATTAAAAATGCTTATAAAAGCACTGCATGAGTTGCATCAGAAAGAGAAGATGATGTTAAAGAGAAAAGAGATTTCTGATGTATCACATTCAAAAAGCAACTTTGAGCTAAAAGTGCAGGTTATGTTATTTACATGCCTATATTTATATCTCCAGATTCAAGGGAAAAAATAAAGTAAATTCTAACCAAAAAGGGGAGAAAAAGGTAACATTGAGAGTTTGAGATAACCAAAAAGAGAAAATAGAAAAGCCATGAAATATTATTATCTAACCGTACTTAATATAGAAGTCAATGATAGTATCATTAATGAATGTCTCTGGAAGTAGAAGTTCAATGTCTCTCTTTCTAATCAAAACAGCATCAGGGTCACCTTCTGGATAGAAAACCTCTTCAAAAGATTTGTGCAAACTGAAAAGTAAAAAATCAGATCAGAAGTAAAAATACATAGCGTTTGAACATCACCAGAAAAACATCAATTAACAATTTCAACAGAGAGTACGCCAAAATAAACCCCAACAGAGAAGGATAAATCCATACTAGCCAGACAAATGACCTTAAACATAAAATTTACCACAGTTAAAACTGGCAAAATGCAACAATAATAGAAACCTTTAGCTAAATGATAAACATGCTATAACATGCACCTCTGATGCTGAAACAGCTGAGATACCACCATATCTATAGTCTAAATTTAAAGAGATTCAAATTTTGTAAAAAGCATTTTTCAGATTGGGAACATATTCGCTGCTTATTGAACAAAGCACCGTATGATAATCTTATGCTATTGCAAAACATCATACAGTGTAGTCTAGAAAGAAAAAAGAAAGATAATTGTGGATGCATCACAGAAAAATAAGTGATATACACTCTAAATGAACTGCATTTGACATAAAGCACGTCATTAACTCATGCAGACCATTTAGTACACTATGAAACAAGTTGGTATCAGATGTTATGGCTTTGCTTTTATGCGTTATAGGCTTATAGCCAAATTGAGATATAGAACTGGCTTACTTAGGAAAATAATGCTTGGAGAAAACATCACTGTTCTGTTCCCTTAAGGCATTTTCTTCATTTTCTCTGTCAATCCTGCAAGTTAATCTCATTAATTGTTAAACATATGCAGTTAAACACGCAAAAAAAAATTTGCACAAAAAATATTTTTTCCTTTTAGCATCCTACTAAGAAGTTACATTGAGAAAAGAAAAGTACAGACCGCTTTCACTAAGAAACAAAGTGAAAGCCCAAACCAATATAAAGAGTAAGAATTCAAGCTAACCAACCACCATGATACATTTGCTGAACCAGCATATGAACATATGAAAATTACCAAATAATACAAACAATATGCACCACTTTTTATTAAAAAAAATTATATGTATGATGAGACATGTTAAGAAAAGGAACCAAGGGGAGAAAAAAAAAACTTACTCAAAAATAATTTTCCATATATCCTTGTATCTCACATTCAAGGATTGGATTGCTGCCTGCCTTTTAGACCAACAAGGATCATAGACTGAAAACCTTAAGTTCTCAATGCCTGCATGCAATCAAGTAACAAAACCTTTAATTAAAAATTATTCATAAGGACTAATAATGAATTAGATTAAACTTTCTGTAAAATCTATTCAAACAGGAAACTGAAAGACCCAAAACAGGTAAACTAGACAGGAAAGCTAGGATCAAAATTTTCACCAATGAATTAAGGGGAAAAATCCAACCTCATATTGAAATCCAAACATTAGAAAAAGCAAAAGATATTTCCAAATTACCATCAAAGGAATACCTAGAGATTTGTGTGTTCTTTTGCATGCCAGATTTGGTGGAAGTCAGAAACATTAAGTTTAGCATTGATACAAGTTATCGTTAACAGGGTATACAGAAAAGTGACGTTTAAGGAGGGATGAGATCTTCAAGTTCATATATTTTAATGTTCATACATAGCTGTCTCCACCATGAACATGATGTTAAGCTACACAAACAAATAGTCCAATGCAAATCATTTGTGAAAATTCTCAAACCTGAAGTCTCGTTTGCATTTCCAGCTGTTTTAGAATCCTTTGATCTAAGAACTAGACATATGCAAGCAGTTTTAACCTGCATCCAGCAATACCAGAAACTCCTAAGATTGTGAACTCAGATGTTTATAGAAAATAATAAAAAGAACATCAATTACTCACCCTTCCACACCATTCAGACTGGATACTAACAATATCATCTATGGCCCATTCAAAGCTAAATGTTCCATCTGTGCCATTCATAGCCAAGCCCTCCACCTTAAAGGCATTGTCTGAAAAAGATAACTGAGCCTTTGTGCAATATATCTCTCTACGCATTATAAAATCTGGAAAAATGATCACTTCTGTATTTGTTTTGGCCTGCGAATAAAAACATAAATACAGAAGACTTCATAAAGTGTGCTTTATCAACGCTAAGTTAGAGTCAACAGAGAGGAGGCACATTAAAAAAATTTGTACAAAGAACATGCAAATCACTCCACAATAAACCAGCAGTTGCTGGTTGCTGGACGTAAGCTAGTTAACACTTAACCCCATAACCCACTGAGGTTGGTTGAATGGTTAGGAATGAGAAGAACTATACTAGAAGCACGGGTTCAAATCCCTATATGGCTATTGGTTAAAAAATAATTCCAACAGGCCAAGCCCACAACCCTAGGGTGAAGCCTTATCAGGTGTCTGTGAATGGGATAATTTGAAAGTGACTGGAACTAGACAGGCCAACAGTCTGGATGCCCATGACATCCATTTTTTTATGTCCAAAGATTAACGGTCTCTACAAAAGGACATTCTCAAATGCAAAAGGTAAAAACTTTTCAAGGCTCATTCATATTTAATTTGAAAAACCTATGGAGATCACCATAAAAATTATTAAAATATTGTAGTCAATCACTTCTTGAGAAAAGAAAAAAAAAAGTGAATAGTGTTATGATATTCCTACTTTCAAATGGCTTAAAATATATTCAATATTTAAGAACTAATAATAAAAAAAAAA